AGGTCACCCTAATAAATTGCCCCGTATGGGGTTTTTGTCATGGTTGCCATGCTTGACAGGCGGATTGCTAACCGCAGTTTTTATTGATTAGGAGGCTACTCACTTGCTGATTTGTTTTTCTTTATCGCCTTTACGACACCCATAGGAGTATATGAAGTAGTGGATATTCTTACACCGTACGCACAGTAAATATTCATTAAAATAGAATCATTCAAACTTGGCAAAGATATCGCATAACTTAATATACGAAAAAAACGTAGACATGATAGAATAAAAAAGCTCTTTTTTTGGACTGAGGAAGATCAGTCAAAAAATGTTGCAACATGATTTTTTTATGGAAAGGGTGTCAAAAGTATACGTAGTCAACCTGATGGTCACAGGATGCTCAGGTAGCTGTGATTTATTTATCCTCGATTAAGAATAAAAATACAGACGCTTTGTCACCTCTGAGGACTAATATGAGAAGTCTTGTTTCCAGTAAAAGGGATCACCGGTTCTCTATACTCAACAAACGGACCACATCGGCACTAAGCTGCTATATCACGCTGGTAATATGTGAGAGTGTGGTACTTACCCGGTCGAGCCGACCCATTCGTGCTATAACTATGATATAGCTACAGCGTGGCTCTACCACGTAGAACTAACTACGATATTATTTTTGAACGTTGATTGCAGTGTGCCCTATGTGTTAAATATATTACACACATAGGGTACTCCGAAAGTTGCGTATCCCTGGCCCTGGCCGCTAATAAATGCATGAATTTCGAATTGTGTACTTTATAACATAAGAAACTCATAATATCATGATTAAAATATTTTTTAAAGGGAAGTCGTGTGACAATTGTTTTTAACACAACTTGAATGTTCGTCATCCGTAGCTAAAATAGGAGGAACGTAAAACGTTTTTAGAGCGTTGAGTTTTTGTGATGTTAAAACTTTAGTCTCCGCAAGATTGCACTACTCGTCTTTGAAATGTCTTTGACAGAGAAGCACCTCACTTGAGCAACGTAAAACGTTGGTACGCAGAATTTGATCTTGCCATATTTCTCTTAATGAAATTCGTGAAGGTCGATCCTTAACTGCGATCACTGAGGAAAACGCAGCAACTGTCAGCGGACTAATTGAAGAAAACCAGCGCATCACCTATGAGGAGTTGAAGAGATTCGGGAACGGTCGGATATTGGTATGAGCCAAAATAAAAAATACATCAACATCTAAAAGTAAGAATACCTGCTGCCGCTGAATTTCTTATGAACTCACTCAAAAACAAAAAAAGCTGTAAAAAATTGTTAAAGTATGATTACGGGTATACAAATTCTGTGTATGACATTTTGGAAAGAAAGCAAGCAAAGTATGGATGTTCGAAGGCGCCGGCAAACCAACATAATTGAGAGAGCCATGAAAAGTTGGCAAAAATAATTCCTTTTTTCTACCAGACGGGTTCTTCCTGTAGGATCCCTCTTCATAAGCAAAGGACAGAGTGGTTCACCACCATTTGCTTGCCCAATCTCTTTGAAAAAAATTAGGGAAAGTCTGTAATTGGTTTTATACGTGGTAGAGCCACGCTGCAGCTATATTATGGTTGTAGCACGAATAGATGGGCTCGACCGGGGAAGGACCACGCTCTCTCAGAATACCAGCGTAAATGAGCAGCTTAATACTGCTGTGGTTCGTTGGTGAGTGTAGAGATCCGGAGACCCTTTTTTACTGAAAGCGAGGCATTCCATCTTAGTCCTCAGGGGTTACAACGCATCTGCATTTAGATTCTTAGTCGGGGATAAATGTAGATATCTATGAGCCACAGCTTTTACTTACCACTACGTGGACTGCGTGCTCGTTTGTCACCCTTATTCTTTAAAAAAAAGCGACCAAAAATTCATGTCCTGTTGCACCATTAGCGAACTAGAATTAACTCCCCATCAATTTCTTTTTTTTCTTAAAGATTAAGAGGATATTTACGAAGCCAGAAAAGGCAGTTATAGCTCAACTACCACGTGAAAAACATGCCTCAAAAATGATTTAAAATAATGAAAAAGTATTTAAAATGTAATGGTGAATACTTTTAAAAGCAGTAAATTTATTAGATTACATATAAATAGTTTTATTTATGAGTTACGTAAAACTTTCAGTGTACCTACCCCATGTACATATAAAGTAAACAAAATTATGGTGTGATTCCTTAAAACATATTTTAAAAGTTCGTTTAACTTGGGTTTAAATCGTCGCTTATATTACTAACTAGCTGGCCCGGCACACGTTCTTTTTCCCTTTCTGGTTAGTTACGCGATGAGTTTTATGTTCACACACAGACACACACTTTTCTTTAGACTTATTTAACGTTATACGTATAGCTAAATCCTCTTTACGGCTAATAGAACCATCACAATAATTAAGACAATAAACTTAAAGAAAAAGAAAAACATAACACTTCTTTTTAAATCTTCCGTAAGCGGATAAAAAGTTGTAAATAAATTACACGCCGTCATTTACTGCCTACACATTAAATTTTATGAAAATCCGTCTGGAAGTTTTTGTGTGAATCGTGAACAAATAATTTTTCTACAGATTTATTATATGTATAATATATAGTATATTACTAATGACGTACTCGTATATTCCTAAACAGAACGTCATAAGGTTTGTTTTAGGAAATATAAAAACCTTGAAGTGGGTAATGCGGGAGTCGCATGCGTAACCACGGACACCTTCATCACCTCTTATCGCTTCAACCCCGGTCAAACCCTGCGTCCTATCGGGCCGACACACACACACAAGTCGATAACATCATGACAGATTGCAACATGCGTGCTGAATTAAAAATGGTTTAGCCGTTTAGAATAAATGGTTAAAAAATATGAACGAATGTATTTTGGGACTATTTATATATACCTATTATGTGATTTTGTTAACTGTTATTAAACTTTAGTACGAGTGTTTGGTTAAAAAAAATTGAAGTGCTAGTGCAGTTCGTGAACATTCGCGTTCCACTTCTAACAAAGAAGGTAAAAAAATCTGTTGCCACCTTTGAGAACTAAGATGGAATGTCTCACAGCTTATAACTAACTATACTGAGTCTCTATAGTCTATACCCCTTGGCCCCCTAGGCAGTAATGGAGTCCTTTAACCTAGATAATTTTTTCATTGTGATACATAGGTACAATGATTGTCAAAGGTTAAAAGATTATACTATAGGAAAGCACCATACACTGCCATCTCACAGCTGTTTTTAACGAAAGTCGTTGTTACATGATGAAAATGATAAATGAATGTAGTATTACAAATAAAGTTTCTTTTTAGGTGTTTTTATTTCATTTTGTATGTTCAACATAAGTATAAAAGAGCATTAAAACTTATTTTTTTTCATAAAATTGCATAGATGACGGTGTATTTACAATTTATTGAAATGAGATATGTTAAACAGTTCTCAAGACCTAATTTACCTGTTGTCAAAAAAATTATGTCATGAATTTGATATCTATTGTAGTCAAATTTTGACAGCACAACTTGATAGAGTTGTATTTTATCTATTAGGGTCTATTAAAAACAGGTTAGAAAATTTTCTTATCATTTTGTACTATTTATTGGTCCTATAAAATGACGGCAAACTCTGAAACATTCACTGTTAACGGTCATTCAGTCATTCAGTTGCCCCAGTACAGCAATATGTTCGCTTTTCAAAAGTTTATAGAAGTTTATACTGATTTGAAAAATGGGGAATTTGTTTGTAGCAAACGAAAATTGTGCAGTTTGGTGATAAATACAAAATATAGAAGATTACTTGTAAAGAAATTTTAATTTACTCGCAGAGGATATATATAGCTACTTGGTCTCCTATATTCAAAGAAACTTAACATCTCAACGTAACAAACGCTGGAAAAACGCTTAGAAAGTCAGGATTTCAAATGGCTAGATGGTAAATTTCATGTTCCACTTGAGTGTCGAGCCTTGATTGATGAACTTAATACATCTGGAACGGTGGCAGGCCTCCTAAAGCATACAAGAGCATGGATTCGACTGTGTGCTCAGGAGTTACGGTCTATGGGTAAAACGGAGGAGGCTACTATAATATTATATTATATGAACTACATCAAAAACGATAAGAAAAAATATCTTAAATACATCTTAAAAAACCCTGAGGATGTCACACCTTTTTCAAAGGATAGCCGACATTTATTGATTTAGACCAAAGAGCAGTACGGAACATTTCGAGTTTGTTTGGCGTGTTTGCGGACTAGCAGGTTGACAAAAATATAAAAGGAAACAAATACCTATTTTGAAGTTGAAATAAAATTTGTAGTAGCAAAATTTTGTATTCTCACTGTAACTTATTATGTGAGCCTGTCAATAAACAATAAAGAAAAGTTTACTGTGTCACTGACGTACAGCTACGAAAGGTCATTTAAAGGGTAAAAGTTGAAGGTATTATTAGTTTCTCATGTTAGACCCTTATTTCATTTTACTAACTTTCTCTGTTTTAACATATTTGACATTAGGTATTGAATCTATTCATCTAGAAAATGGTTGAAATGGTTTTTATCAGAATCGAATTCATAGTGAAAGAAAACCTTATATTATGACGCACATTATCATATCTTAACATTGCAAGAACGCTGTACTAAAGAGTCGATGTAAAAATACACTTCATCAAGAAAATCGATGACATAATATAACGCTACTATCAAGAATTACATAATATATATAAATAATATGAAACAAACTGAAGAGTCACAGAAATCGCGTAGCATAGAAAACCTAGCGCAATGTCATCAGCAATATTGACATTATTTATTTCTGAAGTGTACTAGGCAATTCAGAAGTCGGCTGGAATTTGATTGACATCGCTGATAAATTATTATCACTGGAGTAATATCTCCAGTGATAATAATTTATCAGCGATGTCATGTCGATGATACTTCAAACAAGTTTAGGAGGCAACATGCCTCTTTCAAAACCATTTAGTTATTTGTTTCACGTTCAAGTGAGCAGTAGCAGTCATTATAATGAGTACAAAAAATATTTTTGAAGAATATGGTGAAGACAACAGAATACGAAAAACCATAAAAAATAGTGTCAAAACTACGTGTAGTGCAAAAACGATAAAGAAACGTTTACCAATCATAGAATGGCTACCAAAATACAACGGTACGCTTTTAATACAAGATATCATAGCTGGAATAACTGTTGGGTTAACCGCAATACCCCAAGGCATAGCTTACGCAGTTGTTGCAGGTCTCTCACCGGAATATGGACTATACAGTGGTTTATTAGGAGGATTCGTCTATTTGTTTTTTGGAAGTTGCAAAGATGTTACTATTGGCCCTACTGCGATCTTAGCAACTATGACAGCGAAATACGTAGCTGATTATTCTTCGGACTTTGCTGTGTTAGCTGCTTTTTTAGCTGGAATAGTAGCTCTGGCTATGGGGATTTTAAATCTTGGATTTCTAGTCGAATTTATTTCTATTCCTGTGATAAGTGGATTTACAACGGCTGCGGCGATACAAATAGCTGGTGCGCAGCTAAAGGCATTCTTTGGTCTTAGTGGAGAATCAGGAAAATATTTTGCCGAGTCAGTATATCATTTTATACGTAATATTAAGACAGCAAATTTATGGGATCCTGTACTTGGATTTGCTACGATTGTGATCCTCATATTTTTGAAGAAAGTAGGTGAAGGCTGTGGACGTAATGATTGTTTAATGAAGCAGCTCCGATGGTTCACGTCACTGGCAAGAAATGCCGTTGTCGTTATCATCGGCATAGTTTTAGCGTATGTTTTAAAAGTCACTACTGACAGTGAACCGTTAGTTCTAGTAGGTGATATTGGAAAGGGATTACCAAAGTTTCAACCACCACCATTCAACACTACAGTTGGAAATAAAACTTACAATTTTGGAGATATGGTTCAAGTTTTGGGACCACAATCGATCGTTTTACCGCTTGTCGCCATACTTGAATCGGTAGCGATAGCTAAAGCCTTTGCTGGAGGTGTTCATGTAGATGCTACTCAAGAAATGATTGCCCTTGGTTTTTGTAACATCATGGGGTCGTTCGTAAGAAGTATGCCTGTAACAGGATCCTTTACACGGACAGCAATTAATCATGCCTCTGGTGTTCAGACACCCGCTGGTGGTATCTTTACTGGTTTTTTAATTATTTTGGCTTTAAGTTTACTAACTTCAACATTTTACTACATACCAAAAGCATCATTAGCAGGACTTATAATCACAGCTATGTTTTCTATGATTGACTACCCAATACTTTGCAGACTGTGGACGACTAGTAAACGAGAATTAGTTATTACTATTTTCACTATTGCAATATGTTTGTGCGTAGGGTTGGAGTATGGTATCGTATCAGGAATTATTTTGGAAGCGGCAATGTTGCTATATTCGACAGCGAGGCCATCACTAAACATTGAAACTGTAAGACGAGTAAATGGTGATGTAATTATTTTGCCATTAACCGGAAAGGTATATTACTGCGCGGCAGAGCATGTGCGGCGAGCATTATTGCAATCATCACAGACGGTCTTGGATTCAATCATCGTTATTGATGGTTCCAACCTAAAGCATATGGATTCAACAGTTGCATCTAACTTGATGTCAATTATAAAGGTCTTAGAGAAGAATTCTTGTCAAATATTGTTCTTAAATTTCAGTCCTGACTTAAAGAAAATGTGTTTAGTTTTGAATCCGAAAATTTCCGATAAATTTGTTGTGGCTTCTAACGCTGTAGAAATCATAGATAAAATTTCAAAAAATGTTTGATGTTTTTTACTTTAAGTTCAGTATTTAAGACTGTCCGACATGTGTTACAAAATTACAAGTCATTTTATTTCATGAATATTGTGTAACCACAAAATTGGAAATTAATATTTGAATCGAACTCATTGTAACGAGTTATCTAATTTTAATAATTTAGATTTACGCTGTTATTGTAAAAAATTTATGCGGAGAACTTTTTGTATCATGAATATTATAGTATTTTATGGTCATGAACATAGAATACAAGCGGTTATGACTTATTATCACTAATAACGGATTCACAACGAATCTTTACAGACCTTCTCTTTTCTAAAAGAAAGAAAAGTAAGAACTGTGTTGACAGACTGAGCGCATGTAAAATAACATATTATGAATTGATAGATCAATTTTATAATATGTTAATGTAAAATAAAATAATAACTAAATAATACAGTATCATATGCTTCTATTCTGTTCACGTGTTCACCTGTTACACCCTTTTTTTCCAGTCGGTAAAAAAATTATTGATAAAACTGAGACGGTTTAATACCTGGTTAAGTCATTATTATAAACTATCACAGCTATGTAGACTTTACAAATTTGATCTTGCGAACTTGGGGAAAAACTATGAAAAGAAAAGCTAAGCCATTCAACCCATTTTGACCATAGTGGTACTCGGATAGCTGGAAACATTAAAAAGGCTAGGCTTCCTATTATCCTCTATATTTACTAAGTAAAACGCAGTATGAGCGACTTCCACGCGGACGAAAGCTAGTATTCATTAATTCTATAAACTAAGTAGTATTTATTTATTATTGGTGCCTTTAAAATGAGTTTACCTATTTTGCAGTACGTTGAATTGCAATAAGTTGCAACGAATAAAAAAGTAACTGAAAACTATTATTGGCTTTAAGAGTATTTACATAATAATAAAATTTACTTAAAAGTTTATGTTATAGAAATCATTAAACGATCTAGTAAACATTTGGCAACTTTTGTTTGCCGAAAACTTTCAAAGCAAGTTTTTGATATTTTCTATAGATTAATTAAAAAAAAATTATTAACTTTGAAAAAATATTTATTAAGTGAAAATTTTGTTTAACTATTGCCGTTTGGCATTTTTAGCAACTCAGATTTCAAGTAAGAAATGATAATGATATGAAAGATATCAATGTTATCATGATCTGAGTAAGATTGATAACTGAGTAGCAAGCTGATGTAACTATATTTTATTTGTCTCCAATTAAAACCGATATCAATTTCAAAAATTTGACAAATTTAAGACAGGTTTTATAAAATCTGAAAAGTGAAATTGAAGTTGTTGATTTGATTTTCAATAGTCGATCAATATACTTGAAGGAATCACAAATTATCGAGCTTATCTCAAATGTCGTATCCCCTCAGTTTTGCTGTTGCTCCGTTAAACGCGTCAAGGAGGGGTGTCATTCGGTTTTTTGAAATTTATTAACGTGATTCAGCATTTGCGAAGGTGGCAGATTTATGTGGTTATCGAATCAGATGAATGCGCGCTACATTATCGTTTAAGGCTGTCCGTGACGTTCTTTTTGAATCGATAAACGTTTGTATCTCTAAAAGCGATTTAAAATTGAAGTTACTTTTTCTGACCGCTTTATTAAAAAGTAAAAACTAACGACCCGTTTAAAGTTCAGCTGGGTAACCATCATAAGCCATTTATTTTATGATTTCTTAAATAAAAATCGCAAAGAGTTTCGATAAAATATAGCCAAGATCACTCCTGGCTTTATTCTCTGTCTGTTAGTGGAGTTTCATTACAATCGGTTCAGCCATTTCTAAGATTATCCCGGATAAACAAGACAGACAGGCAGATTGACAAAAACTTAAAACAAAATGTTTAATTTAACTTAATAACATGCACACATAACCCACCTCAGCGCAATATAGCGCAATTATTTTGATATTACATACAAACGCTTATATTTTATTTATACGGTACGTGAGGGTAACGAGGTGACGTTAAGCTTTGCCGCCCTACAAAACCAAAACTAGAAGGAAAATAGAGACATAAACATAAAGTCGTATATTATAACTAACATATTAAGAAAAACATAGCAAACAAGCCTTGGAAATAGTAATGAACAATTGGAAAAATCATCTTAAAAAAAACTAACTACACTACACCATACTAAAATCGGCTAAAACATTTACTATAACGTATACGTTTCTTAATGATCACGCAATGCTTAAAATGAAGTCGAGACAGAAATTGCATCTGGCATGCTTGCTTTTTGGCGTCATAAAACATCAAGAACCATCTTACTTGTATAATAAACTTGGCTGGGTTGCTACAAGGAGGCAATGTGATAGAAGAGAGTGCTCGCAGCAACTTTCGGTACAAAAGCACAAATCGGCATCTTTCAAGGGAGCATTTCGCTATGCAGCCTCGAAAATATGGAATAACATACCACCACCTCTAAGGCAGCTAAGCTCTATAACTACCTTTTAAAAGTCACCTAAAACAGTACTTGTTAAATGCACAAAAAGACCTAGGCATGGTTAACACTAATGCTAACATGTCCTATATCTGATGTTTATTTGAGAGGTACATTTTATGTTCTATATTTTATTTTAATTTATTTTATTTTTTTGCTGATGTTATCATGTTGTTACACTTTCACGCGCAATATCTTGCTAATAATAAAGTATTTAATTAGTATCCTGTCATATATTATATACATATTTTATTAATCGTTTATTATATAAGTAAATATATATGTTTTTTTCAAAGAGTTCACGTTATACTGATTGTTCTTGCGGAAGTATACGGTAACTGGTTTTAGAGGTGAAGACGAATGCAATTTAGGGGGCCAATAGAAAATCAGCGTTAGGTTTCCAACCTGACATCGTGCTGAATTGGTTCCTATCTGTTGGCATCACCTTGAGGCACTAGTTTTAAGAATAATATATATTATGTGTAATTTTTTTTTCCTAATTTTAACAGGCTGTTTGGTTGTTCAGAAATTGTAACTTTTTTTGTTTTGATTGTTTCTGTGTTCTGGTGCCTTGTGTGTGTCAAAAATAAATATTTTTTCTTTCTTTTCTTTCTTCTTTTTCTTTCTTTCTATAATATCAACTTTTTTTTATAGGATAGTGTGACAAACGAGCACATAGTCCACCTGATGGTAAGTGGTTGCTGTGGCCCATAGACATCTACATCTATCCTCAATTACGAATCAAAATGCAGATGCGTTGTTACCCGTGAGGACTAAGATGGAATGCCTCGTTTCCAGTAAAAAGGGTCTCCGGTTCTCTACACTCACCATACGAAACACAGCAGCATTAAGCTACTATTTCACGCTGGTATTCTATGAGAGCGTGGTCCTTCCCCGGTCGAGCCGACCCATTCGTGCTACAACTATACATCTAATATAACTGCAGCATGGCTCTACCACATATTATACACATCTCTATACTACATACCTACCACATATTACCACATATATATACACATCTACAACTGTCAAAATGGCGTCGATAAAGCAACATCCTTTATTATTTGAACGACCGATGAAGAGCTGTCGTATCACAGAGCTATCTATGTAAACAAGGCTGTAGTTTTAGAGTTATAAGTAAGTGATCATATTAACCGGATGACCATAATACCCTCACGTACTATATTATAAATTTAACTAAAACTAAACTCTACTAAAATGCTGTAATTATTAGAGTTAATTGCACTTGATCGTAATTTTACATTCATTCCAATTTTATTAATATGCCTTCAGAAGAAATCGTTGTCAAAGGAATGAAGTTACATACAATAATATAAATTTTCATGACGAAACCTCATTGACTGGCCTAAACGTAATAATTATATCAGTCGCTGTATGCGATAAAATGACTCGATAATCAGTTATTTAACCTATGTTGATTGGTTTTAGCATTAGCTTTGATTTTAACGCTTGGGTATAAAGGCTTAAAAAATGTTTGTTAAGTTTATTTAATAAATTTATGATGTTTTATATTTTATAAATACTATCAAAAGTGATTTTTTTTAATAATATAGTACCTTGGCGACAGAGTATTGCTCGGTGATAGATAAAAAAAAATACTGAGATAATTATAATTAATTTTGGTGTAATTATCTCGACAACCTACTATAGAACATATCATGTTTTATATTTTTTTCTTATTCGCGTTTTGTTCAACAAGGTACGAAGGTGTTGTGTGCCTATGGAGTAAACAAGCGTGAAGAACTGCCGAACCTCAACTTTATAATAGTAGGTAAAATTGATATAAATCTTTTTGTAATTAGTGACTACTAGGTATATAGGGTTATCGAAAAGAGTATTCGAAGGGAAATCAATCTAATCGTCGTTAAAATGAGTGCCTGTCCCGTACGTTAATATATTAAAATATTTTTTTTAAAATTTAATTTGTAATATACTATATTATTATTATACTTAATATATTAATTTTATAGTAATTAAATTTTCTTATATTTTATACCAAATTTGTAGTTTAAATTCTAGTATTAAATAAATAATCTGCAGTAAAGTATTTGTATTTTATATTTCATTTCATTTGAAGGTTTCACTTCTGCTGCGTGTGAGCTGCACGCATGTTTTTTTTTCGTAAAAATACTGTATTCACACAATGTTTGATCTCGAAGCTTTTACTCCAGGGTTCGAAAATACACATAATGCCATAATAAGAAAATATACTACTCCATATCACCCCAAGGGTGTCGTGAGAGGTGACAGAGGGAAGTGAAACAGGAGTTACGCAGCAGCATCTTGTTGATAATAACTCACAGTAATTAAAAACTGTTATTATTAACCCATCTGCCGAGGCAATTTTTTATTCCTTGCACATGCATGTTCCTCACGATAAATTCCTTACCCGTCGAGCAGATGGTTAATCGACACTTAAAATTGCAATTACCAATTTCATTGGTGCCGACGGAGATCAAAACTCGGGTCTCTTGCGTACTGTGAAAATTACGAGTAAGTACTCGTAGCTTTTCAGGCTCATTTTAAATAATA